AAATGTCTTAGCAAACAGTGAAAAGCTCTCTTAGACTAATTATAAAACAGTAATATATTAAGGTATCAACATTAGAAAAACAAAATGTAGATCACACATACATTCAAAAATTTATACAATCTTTTTGATTTCTTAAACGTCGAAAGGTAAGAATAAACTTTGGTAAGCATCTTCGATAATAATGGCAAGAAAGGGTCCCTTATTTTCTTGGGTAGGTTTAAAATAATTTTCTTTATTACATAAAAAAATTTAAACCAAATTTATATTGTTTCACAGTTATATCTGTCTCATGTCTAAATTAATTCGAAAGTTAGTCTAACTTGACTCGTAGAGAGCGAATGAAAGAAGGTTCCCTTGTTTTAATCTTTATTTCAAGTTGGGTCTCCATGCTGATCGAGACTTGTTGGTTCCAAATGCACACAAGTATATATGGTCGTCAAGTAATAAAGTGACTTGAAAGTCAGATGTCGAACCCACAGAGACTTAGAATAATCGTTAACTAAGCTAACTAAAATCAATTTACGGTCCAAAATAATCAAAAATATTATTTTTCTATTAATCTACTGTTGCAAAAATTAAACAAGTAATCACTAAATTAACAAGAATGCAAGAAGTTGTGGTTTGAACTTTAATCAGAGGAGGTGAAGATTCTAGGGTTGTGGTCGGTTTATCAATCCTATTGAGTTCATAATTACACCTGTTAATCAGAATAATCTATGATTTCTAGTTCACCGGATCATTTATATAAATAGCATGTTTTCACAATACTATCCGCCTAACCATAGTATATCAAACCTATATTCCTATGGTATTGAATCTATTATGAATGAATATACTACGACATTCAACTATACAAGACTGTTAGGTATACTACTATCCTAATCGCTAAATCCTTCCCTGAGCCACGGGTTCAGAAATAAGCTTTCTTTAATTCTACTCCAATCTAAATATGTTTTTTTCAAGCATAACATAGATAGTAGGGTGAATCGGTAGCTACAACAATTCACACGTTAAAACTAGAATTTAAGAAACAACCACAATTTGATAATCCGAATTAACGAAAATGTAATTAATAAACGTTAATAATCATGTCAACCACAACCATAAAAACTTGAGTGCTTAGCCATTCATGTTCGTAGTAACAATTATTCAATTATTTTACATAAACAAATTATAAAATGATGAAAAACTCTATGATTTTTTGCTCCAAATTTGTTCCACAATGTGTTTTTCTTCTAAATAAAGTCCCCCCTTACTAAACACGTTTAGGAAGTACTTATAGTCTAGGGTTGAAATCTCTAAGTCAAAAATCGGGTAGGAGAACTTTTAATTCGTGGGCTGAGGGTACTGGGCGCCTGACCTCGTAGGGCCAGGCTTGGCGTGCGCGCGAGGCCAAGCCTAGCGCGAGATCAAGAATGTCTTAAGCTAGGCATCTGGCTTGGCTTCATCATATATTCGTGCTCTTTTCTTGTATTTTCGTCACCCTTTTATGCAATCTTAACTCGCCTTCATATTTCAATGATCCTACACATAAAACAGCGTAATGAAGCTCACACGTCACATAATTAATCATTAAAGTTCTAAAATATAAGATGAGTAATGTACTAAAAATATAGAATTATATCCAAACATCACTACCCCACACTTAAACATTGCTTATCCTCGAGTCAACTAATAATTTACACTAACCTTGAGTACTTTATATTTAACACAATCGAAGGACACTACACTAATGACTATGGTTGATAGCAACAATTAAACTTTAACACATGCTCTTTTACTTATGCCAAACTACAAAAAAATATTCAAACAAAGACAACAAGCTCATAACAATCATAGCCTCCAGAACCGACGCAATATCACAATGCACTCATAGCTTGAACATCCAATATTATAGATATTTCTAATAACATTGCTTATCCCGTATGAAACCATGTTCCCTCACAACAAAATCAAAGAGAACAAGTAGATTTCACACATTCTATTCTTATGATCAAATATAGAGTAAGGAATCACATATATCAAAGAAGCCTCTCACACTCACAAAGAAGTCACATGCATGCAAAAGATAACATAGGCTTGCCCATTATGTGAACCTCTACTAATGTAGGCCCGCTCGATCTAAAATCAATTAGGACTTTTTCATGGTTGTAATGTGGGCTATAGAACGGATATGATATATTTTAGGAATAGTGGATAACCCTCCTAAGCACTTTAACACATCACAAAATTAACTTTAAGCGAATATTTCTTCAATCCCAACTTCAATTTCATAAATAACATCATCCTACATACATTCCCTTTTTCTTCAAGCATTACTTTAATTCACACTCACTAGCAAGACAAGATGTTGTAACGATCTGACCGGTTATTTTACTTTTTAGATCTCCGTTACCTTATTTAAAACTTCTTGTATGTTCTTTTACTTTTTGAGCGTTATATATTTATCTATTATTTATTAATTAATTCAAAATACAATATTATAAAAGTATCTTTATCCTCCTCTTTTCGTACATTCTTTTCTACCGTAATATATGATTAGTTTTCTCATTTTGTATTTTACAGTAAATTTAAATAATATATTTTTTAAATACTAAATTTTAATTTTGAATTCATCAGAAGCATAAAGAGATGAGCCTTTTATTATTTTAAAAACCTACTATAATATTTTTAATATTTAATAATTTGTGTTTTATATGTAATATATTATCTTATATATAATATCCTAATATGTATATATATATATATATATATATATATATACACACACACATACACACACTACTATACTACTACTACATTAGGAAGAAATTACTGCCTAAATTGAATTGGTAGTTTTTTATTTTTTGATTAGTTTTTATTTTATTTTTTCATAATATTAAAACTCCAACTTGAAACTACTCCCCAATTTGAATAAGTAGTTTATTTTTTTAAAATTTTAATTTTTTCATAGATAATTATAAGATATTCATATTTATTAATTCAAATAGAGTAACCATTAATTCAAAATTTAAAATTCAAAAAGTGTTTTAGTTAGATATGAAGTTTATTTTGTCTTAACAAAGCCACTTGGCCTTTTGAGGTTATGTCACTTATCTTAATATACTGCTTTTGATTCTCCTATTCTATATAGAAAGAAGATTTATATATATCGATAGTTATTGATATCGATATGGACAACCAAATGAGGAAGAAATTATTCCCAAATTCGAATTGAAAGTTTTTTATTTCTTTATTTTCGTTTTTTATTGTAAAATAATTTTAAAAGTCTAATTTACATCTACTCCCCAATATGGCTTGGCAACTTATTTTTTTAATTTCATTTTTTATTTAAAAATAATTTTAAAACTCTAATTTTGTTGGAGCTTTGTCCTAAAAATCTACACTTGTCGTCTTATGGTNATATATATAGGAAGAAATTACTCCCCAATTTGAATTGGTAATTTTGTTTTTGTTATTTTTTTTAAAAATAATTTTAAAAATTCAACTTGAAACTACACCCCATTTTGAATGAGTAAATTTTTGTTTTAATTTTATATTTTCATTTGTGATAGATAATTATAAGATATCTATATTTATTAATTCAAGTAAAATAACCAATTAATTCAAAATTCAAAATTTAAAAAGTTTTTTAGTTAGAAAGGCAGTTTATTTTTATTTTTATAGTTAATTATAGGATATCTATAGTTATTAATTCAAGTAGAGTAACCAATTAATTTAAAATTTAAAATTCAAAATTTTTTTAGTTAGAAAGATAGTTTATTTTGTCTTAACAATGGCATTTGGCTTTTTGTGGTTATGTCACTTGTCTTAATATACTGCTTTTGATTCTCCTATTCTATATAGATAGAAGATTTATATATCGATAGATATTGATATCGATATAGACTATCATATGAGAAAGAAACTACTCCCTAATTTGGATTGGTAATTTTTTTTTAATTTCGTTTTTTATTTAAAAATAATTTTAAAACTCTAACTTTGTTGGAGCTTTGTCCTAAAAATCTACACTTGTCATTTTATGGTTATGCCACTTGGCTTTATATAATTATTTACTTCTCTTTTTATATATAAAGTGTATATATATATACACTACTATATTAGGAAGAAATTACTCCCCAATTTGAATTCGTAGTTTTTTATTTTTTGTTATTTATTATAAAATAATTTTAAAAATCCAACTTGAAACTACTCCCCAATTTGAATACGTAGTTTATTTTTTTATATTTTTATTATTTTTAGATAATTATAAGATATCCATATTTATTAATTCAAGTAGAGTAATAAATTAATTCAAAATTTAAAATTCAACAGTTTTTTTATTAGAAAGGTAGTTTATTTTGTCATAACAATGCACTTCGCTTTTTGTAGTTATGCCACTTGTCTTAATATAGTGCTTTTACTTCCCTTATTTTATATAGATAGAAGATTACCAGAGGTATTTATCAAGAATTGGACTGTTTTAATTACTTGGCCAGGTAGGACGTAGGACTAAGTGCTATGTTTAACTATGAAAATGTAAGAACTCTTTGCCATGGATAGTTTAGTTTGACTTGGTAAAATTTATACATATTTTAAGGACAAAAAATGCCTAGCAAACTCAGATGCCCAAAATGTCTTAGCAAACAGTGAAAAGCTCTCTTAGACTAATTATAAAACAGTAATATATTAAGGTATCAACATTAAAAAAACAAAATGTAGATCACACATACATTCAAAAAAAATTATACAATCTTTTTGATTTCTTAAACGTCGAAAGGTAAGAATAAACTTTGGTAAGCATCTTCGATAATAATGGCAAGAAAGGGTCCCTTATTTTCTTGGGTAGGTTTAAATTATTCTTTTAAATAAATTTATGAAGAGTTTTCGTCCTTTAAGTATGTTAAAAGTAAGAAAATTTTGGTCTCCATCAAATATTTAATAAACTTTGGCGGTTGATTTAACGAAAATTATAATAAAAAATTAGCCATAACTAAACCAAAAAATATATCAAGCAAAAATTACATTTCCAAATGTGTGTTCTCATTAGATTTTTTTCTTCATAGTAACCGTTAACCTAACGACTAAAGTTTATTAAATATTTGATGGAGACTAAAATTGCTCGCTTTTGGCAAATTTAATGGACCAAAACTTTTCAAGAATATATTTAAGAGACTATTTTAAACTAACTCCAAAACATAAAGGACCATTTTTATCATTTTAGCAAGCATCTTCTTGGTTTAATCTTGGTCATTCATTCTTGCGAAGACTCAGAGAGGATAGGACAGAAGAAATTCCAGAGCTCACAAATGCAGCTACAAGAAATGCATCTGGGATGTACATCAGTCCCAAGAAGTCATGTATCTTTGAGTTATTATCTGTATAAACAACTTTTTGTAAATCCACGGTTGCACCTAGTGCTGCTCCAGCTGCTGTTGCTAGTATGCCAAATGTAATCTGCATATGTAAAACCATGACATCATTTAGATTTGTTACAAGAATATTTTTAGAAAAATTCTTTACCTTTTATTTTATGTCATGACAAGATTGTTTGGTACCTATAAAATTGACCAAAGTTACACCGAAAGTGTCAATATTTTTTACACCAACAGATTTTACATGTTATCGAATTAGTTACTCTATTACGTTTTATAATTATAGATTACTAATTAATGTTTATCGTAGAGATTTACTTGTATTAAAAAAAGGGGTAGCCCGATGCACTAAACTCCCGCTATGAGCAAGGTCTGGAGAAGGGCCGGATTACAAGGGTCTTTTGTACGCAACTTTCTGCAAGAGGTCGTTTCCACGGCTCGAATCCGTATGACAAGAACTTTACCAGTTAGTCAGTTACGCTAAGACTCCACTTCAGAGATTTACTTGTATTATCTTACACAAACTCAAACTCAAAAAAAAAAACAAATACCGTTAAAATATATAGTTCTCAATACTCAAGAAAGTTAAAAAGGCAAAATCTTTGTTAACCTTATCACCATAAAATTCAAACTGGCGAAAGCTGTGATGGCCTAGGAGACGTTTCTTTGCTATCAGGTAATAGGCTGCGAAGGGAATATGCAATGTGTTGTAGATAATTCCTGCTACCATTACACCAAGCATGTACCTATGCAAGAAGAAAACAACGAATAAGATTCTTCTTGTTGTTGTTAGTGTTCACATCATCAGCACTATTTACATTTCTTTCCCCTTCAAATGCTTATAAAAAATGTTTGTGCTTTATTTTTAAGAACTTAAGTGTTTATTCCAAACGATAAATCACTTGCGAATTGTGACAATTCAAATTGAGACAAAAAGACATACTTTAATCATCGCAAATACGTATGTGTATTTGGAAATGATCATTTTGTAATTGCTAGATAGTATGTGCATGCACTCATTTAAAATTCAAGATAGACTTCGGCCTTTAAATGGGTAGTTTGATCAGAATATGAAGGTCTAGAAATTAATAGTAGTAATAATTACCTGTATGAGCGGAAATAATCGTACTCAAGTTTGGCTCCTTTATCTAAAGTAACGTTATTACTCTTCAGCACAACAACTGAGACCAGAGCACAAGCTATGGTTATGATCCTTGCTGCTAGGGTAACCAATGGCAACTTTGATAAAGAACGAGGCTTTTCATTAAAGTCATACTGAGGTAACTCGAACTCCATTTTCTCAGCTTCAATCAATGCCTCTCATCCACCATATAGCCCATCGTTAAATTCAATGCTCTCTTATATAGTCTTATCAGAAGCTTCCATTACTAATACTATAAAATACTATACTAATTATTTTATTTAAAAAAAAAACTATGATGATCAACTTGTAACATGGATTGCATCGGAAGTTTCTTTCTTTCTTCTCTTTTTTATTTTTGAATAAGTCCTTGTAATTTGGATTGCACCGGACGTTTCTTTCTCTTCTTTTATTTTTGAATTAGTCCTTATATTGTTGAATTGTTGCATGTAAAGTACTAGAGGTATATAACATCTTTTTGGATCCGACTAACTCAAATACGCATCACGTGTGATTTTAAAGGGAAGTGCTCCCTAATTGTATTATAAATTTCTTTATTTTCATGACTCGAATTCGAGACCTCTAACTAAAAGTGAAAGAATTTTATCCATCCCACCGTATCCCTTAGTGGAACCTTAGTGGAAGAGAGCTATCAATCTATCTATCAAAAAAATGAGTGTTGTAGTTTGCGGTCTACGTAGAAGTAAACGTTATCTTGAACCAGTCAAATGTAGAAACAATCTACCCTAGCTAATGTTGCTTTCATTTGGTATATCTTTTATTGAAACCTTTAAAAGACTAATGTGCCCCTTTCATCATGATATTATATCCTCTTGCAATCTACAGTTTTATAGGTTGTATTAAGAAACTCTTCATTGTGAGTTAATTACTGCCTAGCTGTCAGAAGAGAAGCCATAGTGAGATGTTCCTCATGAACCCAGTATTATATTTCTAAGCATGTTGCAAGATTTTTTCATTGTAAAACATTTTATCCTTCAGTAATTTTCTTTATTACATAAAAAAATTTAAACCAAATTTATATTGTTTCACAGTTATATCTGTCTCATGTCTAAATTAATTGAAAGTTAGTCTAACTTGACTCGTAGAGAGCAAATGAAAGAAGGTTCCCTTGTTTTAATCTTTATTTCAAGTTGGGTCTCCAGGCTGATCGAAACTTGTTGGTTCTCCAAGTGCACACAAGTATACATGGCCGTCAAGTAATAAAGTGACTTGAAAATCGGATGTCGAACCCACAGAGACTTAGAATAATCATTAACTAAGCTAACTAAAATTAATTTACGGTCCAAGATAATCAAAAATATTATTTTTCTATTAATCTACTTTTTTAAAAATTAAACAAGTAATCACTAAATTAACAAGAAAGCAAGAAGTTGTGGTTTGGACTTTAGTTAGAGGAGGTGAAGATTTTAGGGTTGTGGTCGGTTTATCAATCCTATTGAGTTCATAATTACACCTGTTAATCGGAATTATCTATGATTTCTAGTTGACCGGATCGTTTATATAAATAGCATGTTTTCACAATACTATCCGTTTAACTATAGTATATCAAACCTATATTCCTATGGTATTGAATCTATCATGAATGAATATACTACGATATTCAACTATACATGACTGTTAGGTATACTACTATCCTAACCGCGAAATCCTTCCCTGAGTCACGGGTTCAGAAACAAGATTTCTTTAATTCTACTCTAATCTAAACATGTCTTTTTCAAGCATAACATAGATAGTAGGGTGAATCGATGGCTACAACAAATCACACGTTAAAACTAGAATTTAAGAAACAATCACAATTTGATAATCCGAATTAACGAAGATGCAATTAATAAACGTCAATAATCATGTCAACCACAATCATAAAAACTTGAGTGCTTAGCCACTCATGTTCGTAGTAATAATTATTCAATTATTTTACATAGACAAATTACAAAATGATGAAAAACTCTATGATTTTTCGCTCCAAAGTTGTTTCACAATGTGTTTTTCTTCTAAATAAAGTCCCCCCTTACTAAACACGTTTAGAAAGTACTTATAGGCTAGGGTTGAAATCTCCAAGTCAAAAATCGGGTAGGAGAACTTTTAATTCGTGGGCTGAGGGTACTGGGCGCCTGACCTCGCAGGGCCAGGCTTGGCATGCGCGCGAGGCCAAGCCTAGCGCGAGATCTTAAGCTAGGCATCTGGCTTGGCTTCATCGTATATTCATGCTCTTTTCTTGTATTTTCATCATCCTTTTATGCAATCTTAACTCGTCTTCATATTCCAATGATCCTACACATAAAACAGCGTAATGAAGCTCATACGTCGCATAATTAATCATTAAAGTTCCCAAATATAAGGTGAGTAATGTACTAAAAATATAGAATTATATCCAAACATCACTACCTCATACTTAAACATTGCTTATCCTAGAGTCAACCAATAATTTACACTAACCTTGAGCACTTTATATTTAAAACAATCGAAGGACACTACACTAATGACTATGGTTGATAGCAACAATTAAACTTTAACACACGCTCTTTTACTTATGCCAAACTACAAAAAAATATTCAAACAAAGACAATAACCTCATAACAATCCTAGCCTCTAGAACCGACGCAATATCATAATGCACTCATAGATTGAACATCTAATATTATAGAGATGTCTAATAATATTGCTTATCTTTTATGAAACCATGTTTCCTCACAACAAAATCAAAGAGAATAAGTAGAATCCACACATTCGATTCTTATGATCAAATATAGAGTAAGGAATCACATATATCAAAGAAGCCTCTCACACTCACAAAGAAGTCACATGCATGCAAGAGATAACATAGGCTTGCCCATTATGTGAGCCTCTACTAATGTAGGCTCGCTCGATCTAAAATCAATTAGGACCTTTTCATGGTTATAATGTGGGCTATGGGACGGATAGGATATATTTTAGGAATAGTGGATAACCCTCCTAAGCACTTTAACACATTACAAAAATAACTTTAAGCACATATTTCTTCAATCCCAACTTCAATTTTACAAATAACATCACCCCACATACATTCCCTTTTTCTTCAAGCACTACTTTAATTGACACTCACTAGCAAGACAAGATGTTGTAATGATCTGACCAGTCATTTTTCTTTCTAGATCTCCGTTCCCCTATTTAAGACTTCTTATATGTGCTTTTACTATTTTATGACTTGCGAGGATGATTAGTTTGATTTTGGAAGATTCGAATTTAATTCGGAACACTTAGTTCCATAATAGTGGCCTAAGGTGACCAAGTTTGACTTGAGTGAAAATTTTGAGTAAACAACCTTGGAATGAGGATTTGAAGGTTTCATTAAGTTCGTATGATGATTTTGGACTTGGGCGTATGTTCGAATTGAAGTTTTGGTGCACCAGGAGCGTTTCAGCGCTTATTGTTGAAAGTTGGCGTCTTAAAGGTTTTAGAGTTTTCTAAGTTTGATTTGAAGTAAATTTTGGTGTTATCAATGTCCATTTGGGATTCCAAGCCTTTGAATGTATAATAATTTATGACTTGTGCGTAAAATTTGGTGTCATTCCGAGTTGTCTAAGTATTATTTGTCGCGTTCGGAGCTAGTTGGAAGAAGTTTGAAGTTCAAAGGTTGACTAATTTGGTTTTGAGGTGTGATTCTTGGTTTTGATATTGTTTCATGTGTTCCAATGCTTTGAGCAGATCCAGATTATGTTTATGAACTTGTTCGAGCATTTGGACTGCGTCCAGGTAGCTCAGGTGTGTTTTAGACCAACCGGGGCTAAGTCAAATTGACAGATTTTTATAGTGCTGGTTTCCTTCTTCGTGAACTCGGAAGGAGTCTCGTGTTCGCGATGAAGGATTTGGGCTGGGGCATTTTTGTTCTTCACATTCGCAGTAAGGATGATGCGATCATGGAGAACTGGGGCTAGTGGCCTTCACGTTCGCGATCACTAGGTCGCGTTCGCGTAGATGAAGGCTGGCTGGGGGGGGGGGGGGGGATGTCATACTTTGTTCTTCGCGTTCGCGAAGGGTTGCCCTCATTCGGGAAGGGTAAGCTAGGCTAGGCATCACGATCGAGAAGCCACTGGTCGCGTTCGCGATGGGCATTTTTCTGGGCGACGGTAGTTTTGCCTTCCCGATTGCGAAGAAGGGTCAGTTGGCATAACACTTTTTACAAATTGGGACTTAGGCTCATTTTTGCCATTCCTCATTTGTGTTGGCCGATTTTAGAGCTTCTTGGAGAGGGATTTTCATCTAATACTTTAAGGTAAGTGATTTCAACCTAATGTGAGTTTAATACATAGTGTATGGTTAGATTTTAACATAGATATTATGGAAATAATGGGATTTTGTTAGAAAATTGAGAGTTTAGTAAAAATGGGATTTGACCACTAAATTAATTATAGACTTGGGTATAAATTATATATTTGAGTTCACAAGGTCATGCGTAATAATTATCTATGAAAATTTCTGGAATCCGGGCACGTGGGCCCTTGGGGTGACTTTAATGGGCTTTTCGAGTTGGGTTGGGAAATTACTCTATTAGTTAAATTATGAACTTTTTAATATATATTGATTGATATATGCGTCATTTGATTAGTTTGAGATTGTGCGGCGTTGTTTTGAGGTGACTAGTGTGCTTTGAGGGCCGAGTAGAGGACTTGCAAGCAAGGTAAATCTCTTGCCTAATCTTGTAAGAAGAAATTATCCTCATAGGTGCTTTAATTGTTATGTTCTACTTGTTGTAGGTGCTATATACACACGAGGTGATGAGAGTCCGTACGTAGATAAATTCATGTTTATGTCCGGGTCGACTTAGGACTTTACTATGCAATATTTGTATTACTTGAACACAACTTGTTAGTTTAATTACTTAAGGTTATAATCAAAATTTGATTTTGGATTATATTAGGCCGAGCTTCATCACCTTGAGTTTTTGGCGGGATGCTTGATTGTTGGTAAGATTCATGTTTTTCTCTATGTTCCTATCCTTGTGTTGTAATTATGTAACCCATAATTCGGCGAGTTTCCTCTATTCATTCGGATCGGGCCGAACGCCTCGTTAGTGTTATGAACTAGCATTATAGATCGGGCCTGACGACCTTAGTAGCATATTCGAGATGCATTCATGGTTCGGGCTAACCGACCTAGGCAGTGTACACGATTATTAGGGATCGGGTTGTACGACCTCATCATAATTCACGCGTAATGTCGCTAGGAGTCAGAATATACATG